TTTGAGTTATTTGCTGGTTGGTTTGGATTTTTTTGCTGTAGTCTGGTACTTTATCTGTGGAAAATCATTTCTCCTCTTCCTGATGGCTGACCTGTTGATCTCCTCATCTTAGGAAAGAGCAGACACCCATGCTGATGACAGGCTGACTCATTTCAAAGCTTTTCTGTGACAAATGTGATTAATTACTGACAGGCAGGAGACGGGATTGCATCCTTCAGACAGGGAGAGGGGCCTGGGACACAGAGGACCTGCAGTAAAAGCAGCTCTAGGAAAGGATGCTGAGGCTGAATTTTATCCTCTGTTGTTTCCATGTCTGAGACAAAGAATCAGTGGAAGGAGAAGTGGAGGCACTGACATAAAATGTGTGTGTTGCTGGAATGAGGTAAGGATTTTTAGGATCATGTGTGATCCCTGCTATGCTGAAGGACACACAGTGATGATATTTACTTGCTCCTTACACTGTAATACAACTATAATTAATAACTCTTTCCTCTCTTCTCCCTCCAGAGAGTCACTCTGTAGCCCAGGTCAGCCCAAGAACACTGAAAAAGCCATGGCTGAGTGACAAATACCATCACCAGGGGCAGGGGGGACTTTGATGCTGTTCAGCATTGGCTGCAGCAGCAAGGAGACTCCAATCCCATCCAATTGTGCTTTGATCCTGTTTTCTCTGAGGGAATCACAGCTTTGCTTTTGCTAAAGACAGGAAACACAACAGTTGGCACTGGAGGAGGGACTGGAGCTCTCTGTAAAGATTCCACCTCCAGAGTGATGAAGTGAGCTTGGAGATGGGAAGGCAGAGGTGATGCTTCCCCCAAAGGGACACAGTGTAAGAATCACCTGTTTTTACCTAAAGGCATAATCCAAACAAGCATCAGAATTGCAGTCCCACAGACAAAATGGCCAGTGTGGTTCCACAGCTGAGGGAGAGCAGGCTGAGAATTACAGCCTGTGTTTGCACAGAGGTGAACTGACCTACTCATCCCTCATTTAAGTGAGTGTTCTTTCCTTTCAGGCATTAGGAGACAGATCCTGAAATGGAGCAAAGGGGGCCAAGTCTGTTGCAGTCAGCAAAACTACTCTTATTTACCCCAGCTAAGAAAGAGCAGGATTTTCCAGCTTAGAAAGGGTTTGCTGGAGGAGGGATTGTAAAGGAGGCTCTGCTGGTTGGGTGGGCACGTGTCTGGAAGTGCTGGAGTACGTGCAAGGCTTTTCTCTGCCTACAAAACAGAAACCTGCAGGCGTCACTTCACGGGGGATTTGAAAGTCGGGCTCACAGCAATTCATTTTGCACTGCTTGAGTAACCAGCTTCAGTGCACAGTCCTGCCAGCTTAGCCTTGTACAATTGAAACTATTCCCCAAAGACCTAAGCTGTCTGGAAATATTCTTGAATACGGGATATTGAAGTGCAGTTGAGCAAGAATATCAACAAGGAGCTGTTGCCGTTGGGCTCTGGTCCAAAAAACAAAGTCTCTGCAGTGTTACCTTTGCACACCCTGGCAGAGGCAGGTGGGACAGGCAAGATCATGTAAAATATTAGCAGGTGAGGGGATGAAATGTTAGTCCTGACCGTGTTCTTGCATACTGATATCACAGCCAAACGTGGAGCTTTTTGGGGAAGGAGGGAGGTCAAGACCCTCTAGAGGAGATGGAAAATATCAATATTGAGGTCAATATCAAGCCAAAATTCAGTTATCTCTTAACAGGAAAATTCAAGTTCAGGGTGCTGTAACTTCCCTGACATGTAGAGGTTGGGGTGACCAGTTCTTTGTAGGGAAAAATGAGTGGCAGATTTGTTGAATGAACTACTCTGAGTTTCAAGAGGAGCTGATCCCTGCCTGTCACAAGGAAGCATCAATGACATTGGTTTTCTCTAGTGACTAGCTGGGATGCTTCTGGCTGGCAAAGAAGTTTCAGTAAGCTGCAATTAAGGTCAGGATACCTAATAAGCCCCTTTTAACCAACAGGAACCCCAAACCAGTTGAAGTCCTGACAGGATGATTTATCCTGTAACCTCCCAGTGAACACAAGGGTGACAATGAGCAGCTGCCTGAAAGCAGGAGCCAGTTCATCTTGAGAGTTGGAAAAAACATTGACCTACAGAAAGAATTCTGAATAAAAAGACTGGAATTATTGATATTTGGGTTATGGCAGCGATGCCAGCTTCCCCCTTTTCTCCTAGGGCTGGTGCTCTGACACTGGGGCCTCTCTGGGTGCCAGCAGTGGGAACCTGAAATTCTGCTTTTGTGCAGTCTGTAGAGGTGTCAGCTTTACTGCCCCCACAACATCAGCTGAGACCTGGCTAACAGAGCTGCTCCAAGAGCCTTTTTGGGTCTCAGCATCACTTACAATTGACTTGTTTGACAATGTGACATGTTGAATCAAATTCTAGGCTTGTGACAAGAACTGCTGGGCATCCTGGTGTGTCTCGTGGATGGACAGCAAACATCTCCTGTCTAGTAGGATCATGACACTTTATTTAAAAAACCACAATGGATCAATTGTTTTCTCTCAGAAAACAAATTCTCCTAGAGTTCTAGAATGGTTTGGGTTGTAAGGAACCTTAAAGATCACCTCGTTCCAACCATACCTTCCACTAGTCCAGGTTGCTCAGAGCTCCATCCAAAATGACCTTGGATGAGAGTTTGATCCCAATGAAAGTTTTTGTTTTTGACATGTCATTATTACATCACTTCTTGACATGGCACAGAGGATCAAACCTTACCAAGGTGCAGCAAAGTGCACGGTGCAAGATGTTACCAGCCTGAAAAATCCACCTCCTTCTAATGTAGTGAGTGAATCATTTGCAGCTTTAGGTTAATCTGATGCCAGTGTCCCTGACTGGTGCACCTGTGCCACAGAGGCACCTGGGTGAGCTGGATTTAGTGATGATTGTAAGCACTGCAGGACTGCACCCTTGCACAGATGTTTGAATCTTTATCTGCCAGCTGCCCTTGAACAGAGAATATTGCTGAGAGGGAAACACAGGCTTCATTTCCCTGTTCTGGCATTTCAGAATACTTGAATTGCAGATGTTATCCTACTTTATAAAGCACCAACACAAACTGGGCTTGAAAGGGGCCACACTTTTGTTGTGCCAGTTTTCTCTGCCCTGGTTCATCTTTCTGCCGTAGACGGGGATGTCAAACAAAGGCTTGTGGTACTTTCTAGGTTCTCCTTTCTGTCATGTCCCTGGGATGTGTGGCTCAGAGCTGATTTCAAAGCATTCAGCCCCATGGCTTTTGAGACGTGGCAGGTCTCTTTTTATTCAAACATGTAGAACAAGTGTGTTACAAACAGGCTCCTGCCGTCGTTCCTGTTGCCCTCAGCGATGCTGAATAGGAATCATCCAGTAAGCAAGATAAAAAATGACATCTTTACAATGTGAGGCTGCTGTTCATCCCTGATGTTAAATCTGGGCAGCCAGCACCTCTACACACCCACTTCTGTGTCTGTTATACACAACACGTGAAGTTGTTTTGAGACTGAATGTGGGAAATACAGGTCACAGCATCCAAAAAGGGAAACTCGTTGGGTTAAAGGTTGGACTCGGTGATCTTAGAGGGCTTTTCTAGCCCTAATGATTCTGTGATTCTAAAGGTAGAAATATTTTTTTAAGTTTTACTTTAAATGTTCCTTAAAATGAATCTTTGAGTAGAAGCCAGACTGGGGGGATTTTATGTGAGAGAAAGGCCTTTGTCTTAACCCTGGTGATCCCTGTTGGGAAGGTTACAGGTGCATGTTAGAAACAGCAAAGCTTCAAAGGATGATCTGAGATCTGATTAGGAAAGAAGCATTTTTTGTTGCCTCTCCTCATCACATCTTCTCTCTGAATTCTCCAGAGGAGTTCCTGACTTGTTCACTACCTGCTGCCTGAGGTGTGGTGTGAATCAACATCCCCAACACGACCTGCAGTGCCACAGAGGTTATGGGGGATGGCCTGAGAGATGTTTCAGGTAATGGCCAGGCCAGAAGACACATACTTGGATCCCAGAATCAGAGCACATGGCACAGGATTGTGTGCAGATGGGTCTGGAATGTCCCCAGTGAGGAGACTCCACACCCTCTCTGGTCTCTGTTCAGGGCTGGGTCACTGCCCAGCAAAGAAGTTCTTCCTCCTGTCCAGCTGGAGCTTCCTGGGCATCAGTTCCTGCCCGTTCCTGCTGTGCCATTGCTGGGCCCCTCGAGCAGAGCCTGGGCCATCCTCTGCCCCCTCCCTGCAGCCCCTGATGGAGATTTATAAGATCCCCTCAGTCTGGTCTGCTCAAGGCTGAAGAGGTCCAGCCCTCCCAGCCTGTCCTTGTAAGAGATATTCTATAAGAGGCAGATGAGTTCAGTCTTCAAGTGTTGCCAAATTAAATAAACATCAGTATGTTAGAATGAAGAGAGGATTAAATTGGGAATGGGTTTAACTTCAGCTCATGACTTGACCCAAAGGCCTCTTTGCTGGCAGCTGCTCCAAGGAACTTTGCTCAGTGTCCTGGTGCTGTAGTTGTGGTGTACATGGAAGACAAGGTTTGGAGACCTGGCTTTGGATGTGATTTCCAGGCCTGTGGTGAATGGAGAGCACCTTTGGTGTAAAGCTGCTCCCTGTTGCCATGTGCAAATTGCTGCCACAGGGCCCACTGCAGCCCTAGAGCAGAGATCCCATCTCCCCCCATTGCTACCAAACAATTTGTCCACAGCCAGAATCAAAAAGGAATTAAATTTTAATGGTTTCTCTGGGACCATCACTCTGTGGGCTCATCTGCAGTAGGGAGGTTTTCACATGTACACTGGTGACCTAGCAGGGTGGGCCTTATAAAAGCTTAATAAGCTTAATTAAAATAGGGTTCATTAGGAAAGGAAAAAGAGACAATAATACAAGGAAAGTCTGTGGGCCTGGATAATCTACTTCTTTATGTTCATCAGATTGGAATGATGGGAAAATCCATGCCTTGAAGGCAGAGACTGGGCAGTCAATGTATGTGATTGACAGTGCCTGTAGCTTGGAATTGCTGCTACAAGTGACTGTAAATGAATCATTAGTGGAGGAGGTGAAGGGCAGGAAATTTTTGCTTAAAACCCTGGAGCAGGTCTGTGCTCTCATCACAGAGTGAGCTGTTCTCATTTTCCACTTCAGCAAAGGTCTGAGCTCCAAAACACTGGCTTTGATATGTGCAAATCTCAGGGGGCCTGATGTAAAACAATTTCTTCAGCCTTAGTAGTCTTGGAAATCCTTCTAATGCAGAATATGCTCTTAATCCTTTTTCTTCATTTGTCTCTCCCCTGTATTTGCTCTATCTGCTTTAGTCATCCCTTACAAGCCTCCATCTAACTGTGCTCCAGCACAGATTTTCTTTCTGTGGCTGCTTTGGAGCTCCTTGTCCTGCCCAAAGTGACCTGTATGAATTGATTTCACAGCACAAAGTTCCTTTTATATCACTGTACTCTATTGGGTGACTTCCCAGTTTTCTGGGATGGTACTCTGTGGTTAGGTGTTAATTGGACTCTGATAATATAATAGCACTCCATTCCTAATACAATTTTGGAAACATTCCAGTACAAATAACAATAAAGTTAGAAAACATGTCGTAGGCATCATACCTGTGCCATTCAACAATTTATTTCCAACCATGCAAAACAAACACCGTGTACTTCAGCTACTGCATAAAGCAACTTCATAAAGCAATGACCCTGTTCAGTCAGTTAAAGTGACACTGCTTTCCTAACATTTAAATAATTTAAGCACAGGAGTTTTATTTATATTCAAAAGAAATAATTTGACTGGGAAGCTCATGTTCGGTTTCTTGCCTTGGTCTGAGTTCCTCCTTGCATTCTGGTGAGAGCCAAACCTTTAATTGTGCTGTGATTTATCTGCTCAGTGCTCTGTTTGTGTGCCCTGAAATGAAGGGTTCAGTGTGCTGTGCTGGTGAGGGCACGGGAAGTCTGGAAGAGGGAGGAATTGAAGGCAGGGCTCCCAAATCTCGGGCTGGTGTGCTAATCAATGAGCCATCTTTGTGAGTCATTGTGCTCCTCGGCTCTCCTGTAGAGCAGTGACACAGCAGAGCCTTGTCTCGCTGCATAAAGACATTAGACATGATGAGCCACTCCAGCCCTTCCTGAGAAAAGCACATTAAAGCAGCTGGGGTGATTAACTCTAGAGGATGTGGAGGATGAGGACCTGGATTCTGCTTCACACACGGAGACTGGCACAGGCTCTGCTCAGTTCATCTCTGAACTGACAAAGGCAGCTGAGACCGAATTGAAGCTAAAGGTTGGTTAAGCAGAAACGAGAACTGCAGGGGAGCACTTGCAGTGTTCATTTGGAAACACAAAAAAACCTGTTCTGAAACGGGAATGGTTGTGTCAAAATCAGTCATCTGGAAGCTGCCACTTCCAGGGACACTTCAAGGACCTGGATGCTCTGAACATTCATCAGGTGGGAGCTGGAGACCCAGATCCTGTAGTTAACTCAGCATCAGACTGGGAAACATGGACAGTCAGCTCTCTCTGCTTCTGATGTCAGTGCCTAAATCTCTACATTTTCCCTAGGATTTGAACCTTGGTGGAATTTAAAAGCGAATGGATTTCGTGAAGTTTGGCCCTGGTGGGCCAGTAAGTGCAAGGTGTGAAAGATCAAGCCCTGAAAGCAGAAAGATTTTTGCTGTTACCACCACTGCGAAAAGAGGTGCTTTCAGGCACGTATTTCACATCAAAGATTTAAAGAGCTGGTTTGTATTTACTTTCTGGCATTATGTGGAGCACAAATAGCAGGCAGCTCTTTTTTTATATTCCATTTCAGAAGCTCTGCTCTTTGATCTTTAAGGCAGCGCTGGAAATATCTCCTGGACCAGAGGCCTTTTCCTTCTCCAGAAATGAGTAAACTGAAGCGTGGAAGAGTGAGAATATGACAAACACAAGGTGAGGGGTTAATGGTCAGGGATTTCTGAGCCAAGTGGATCACACTCTGGAGAACTCAGATAAGTGTAATGAGGCAGCTGTGAACGACCCACAGGAAAGTAGGGGCAGTTGATGAGATTGAGTTGTGAGAACGTGTTATAAGAGAAAATAAGAGTTGAGAAAAGCCTTTGACTGAGCTCAGTCAGGACCAGGTGGTATAAGAGCAGATGTTGCTGGTGATTTTCAGGGGAGGGTCTGGGAGATCAGGGCAGGCAGTTCTGCAGGAGCCTTTGCTGTGTCCTGCGTGAAGACGAAGAAGGACAACCAAGAGTGTGTCATAACCAGCCTTGATGGAATGTGCAGCATGTGGGATCTTGTGAAGGAGACAGATGAGTGTTGCAAAGCACTTAAAGTGCTGGGAATGTCTCTGTTGGGTCACTGTGCCCTATTTGGGGTATCTCATAGCGAGAAGGAGGGGAAAAAGAGGATTTGGAAATAGAAATTACTAGAAAAAACGATCAAGTCAGGGAGGACAGAACCTTCAGTGCTAAGAAGAATTCAGAAAACTTTTGACAAGCATTTGCCTCGTGTTCTCATAATGGATCCTGCTTGGCCAAGGGGATGGAACAGGTAATTTCCTATTTCCCCGTAGCTCTGTTTTCCAGGACTTTATGACTCTTGTTGATCTACTGCAGATCTGCAAACTCTCTGCTCTGTGGTGAGGGTAAGGAAGCTTTTGCACAGTGAATAGCACCTAGAAAGCATTCAGGATTGAAAAAAATTAGTTCATATGACAGCAGAGCAAAAGTCTCACAAGGCAACTGTGATGGGTGAGAGAACTGATGACCCTAATAGGCTTTGTGAAACCCTGACCTCAGAGTGGGACCTGAGAAATATCCAGGTAGAAAGAGAGATTTGAGTACAGGACAGGCAGAGGCAGTTCAGGCAGACAAAGTTTGGGTTCTGACCCTATTGCTTTTTCCTCATTTGGGGGTGTTTTGCAGTTGTTTTTTGAGAAAACAAATCATTTGACCCCACTCCTCTTTCAGATGTGTGTGTTGCCATCCTGAAAGGTACCAGATAGTCCATGGTGCAACAAGCAGAAGGGTAAGGAAAACTGCAGGAATTCTGTTTGCAGAAACTCCAAAACACAAAATCTGGGGCTTGTTCCATGGTGAAACTCCTGTGCCCCCACAGAAGGTTGTGTTACAGAGCAGGGCTGAAATCTGTGGGGTCTCCAGGCACAGCCCTCCCTCTGCTCTGCTCTGCTCTCCAGATGAGCTCCTGGGAAGTGCCAGAGAAGTGGAAGGGTCTGTGCCAGGTGCCATCAGTGGGTTGGACATCACATCAGATGGGGCACACTTTGTCACAGGTGAGGGGGTGGGTAAAACCAGAAAAGAGGAGATCATGCCAAGACCAGGAAAAGCAGAGCAGTGAAGCCAGGATCTCAGAAAGGAAAGAAAACATTAAAAGGAGAGGTCAACTGAAGGGGAAAATAAAATGAACCACTGAAGAAAACCACTTAGAAAAGGGCTGTGATTCAGCCTGGGGAGATGCTGAGGTTCAGTCTTGCAAGGTGTAATGTAAAGGTGAAGACAGGGCTCACACCTCTCTGGGGAACGCAGGGTTTCCTCGTGCCCTGCTCCTCCTTTAGTTCAGTGGTGTTCTCTGTGCACTCCAGTGGTTTGTTCGAGTGACCTACTCCAGAATCCTGGCAGCCTGTCAGGTTACAAGCAGGAATGACTGCAGGCTCCAGCCAGCCTCAGGCTCACATGCTCCCCACCAGTGTGACATCTCCTCTGGGAGCCCAGCCCTCGCACAGGGTTTTAGCTGTGGGAGTGTGTACCTTGGCTTGAGCTAAAACCCACGGATTTACTGTCAGTTCTTTTTGATTAACCTGGTAAATGAATGTTGGTTAAGAGTATTTTGAAGGCCCTCTGTGTTACTGGCACCAGTTGCTGGCCAGGGCTCACTGGCCAGGCCCCGAGCGCTGTCCTGGCACTGACTCTGCACTGCAGCTGGGAAGAAGTAGTTGTTGCCATAATGCCCAAAGCAATGTATTCCACCCTGCCCAAGTCAAATGGGTGTCTGAGTATTCCCCTGACTGTGGGGATAAGGGGAATGGCCTTAAGCAGAAGGAGAGAAGGTTTAGATTCGGTGTTAGGAAGAAATTCTTTAATACAAGGGAGGTGAGGCACTGGCACAGAGAGGTTGTGGACTCCCTGTCCATGGAAGTGTTCAAGGTCAGGTTGGACAGGGCTGGTGGTCTAGTGGAAGATGTCCCTGCACATGGCAGCACATGGAATGAGATGGTCTTTAAGATCCCTTCCAACCCAAAGCACTCTGGGATTCTGGGATTCCAGGTGGTGCCAGTCTGGTCTGGGATTCCCAGGTTTGCACAAACAGCTGGAGCAGGAGCTGTCAGGCTGCTGCTTCCCCAGCCAGTCCAAGTGATCCTTTTCTCTTACAGCTGAGGTAATTCTAAAGCATTTTTACAATGAGAGGGGACACTATTTTTATATGGTGTGCATTTATCAGATTCTCCAGAGAGCCCCTATAGCACTGACTAAACAGGTCTGACTTTTTCAGGGCAGCCACGAATCTGCTGTTCCTTTTAGACTGTTGTGAAAGGTTTCATCACTTCTGAAAATCGTCTTGGCTGTTGTTGTAACACTTACATGTTGTTACTGCCACCTTTCCTGATAGTCTTCTGGCACAGCCTGACTTGTATCTCTGCTCAGTTTTGTAGGCTCTCTCTTGCTTTCACGTGGTCTCTCCTCCCTCCCCCCTTCTCGTCCTGCCTTTAATGAATGACTTGTTGTGTAAATTCAGTCTTCTGTGTTTATTTTAATTTGTCTGGTCCTGATTAAGGAAAAAGCCCTCAGCTCCAACTCTGGCATTTAACTGGGAAGCTCTTTTGAGTCAAGATTTTAAATCCACATTCTCAAAGGAATACAAGGATGTCGGGGCTTCTTCTTTTGCTGTGTCCAATTTAAAACTCTCTTCAGGGGACTGGTTTTCAAGAGTGAGAGTGCAGTCAGTTCTGAAAATGCCTGGGTGTTTCCAGCTAGACACACTCAAATTCCTGGTTGCTTGCCTAATTTTTCAAACAGGCTCCAAATTTCCATGGAATAGGTATTTGTACTTTTACTTACTCAATATCATATCTAGTATTAAAAGCAACAGCTCTCAAGATACTGTTTGTTTAAAGATCAGTGTAGGCAGCAGCCTGTGTAGTGATGCAAGTGAAGTGAGTATTTCTCTTGCAGGCATTGAAGACCTGTGAGAATTCTGTCATCAATTAAAATGCAGCAAAATGTTGCAGTCCTTAATGTTAAGGATTTTAGATGTTTTAGTTAATAAAGATGATTTACAGGCAGTGACAAAATAGGTAGTGTCACACCTGTACTGACAGTATTAGCTGTTCTGGTAGGCAAAGAAGGACAGGGATTTAAAGGTATGATTGCTCATTTTCTTCATTTTGTGCCACTAAAAATGTTTCCTGCTCATAGCACAGTAAAGGGGGATCATTTTGGACTGGCCTGGAGGGTATCTGTGCACCTCTGTTGTCCATCAAACACTATGCAAATATATTCCTTCTGGCTGAAATATCTCTGCTCTCATTAACAGAGCCTTTAGCAAAGGAATTAAGTCATTCCTTCCTCTTTCCCTTTGGAGCTGAGCCTTGATGCTCTGCAGCAATAAACACTCCAGCAGGTTCTACAAGCTCGGCAGAAACGCTCGCTGTGGTTTGGAAGGCAGGATCCAACCACTGGAATGTGGGACAGGCAGGCAAAATGTTTGTGCTTGTGCTGGGGGAACACAGAGGAGCAGTGGAGCCTGTGAGAGCCAACCAGGCAGCCCTGAAGACCCGTGTCACCACCAGCTGCTCAGGGTGCAGGACGGGAGATGCAGAGCACTGTCTGTCAGAGCCCCACCTCAGCAAAGCCACTCTGTCCCCACCAGATCACACCAAACCTTCACTGCAGGATCCAGGTGGCCACTGGGGAGCCACAGGCCTGTTTTGGTGTGGCTGCTCCCAGGCTGTAAAGACCAGAGCCCTGGACTCTCCTGCTGCTCCAGCTGGTTCTTCACACCCCAGAGGCAGCAAAGTGAGATGGGCGTTCCTGACTCCCCTGGCCACTGTCACCCTCTGGAGCTGTGGCTGCCAAACCACACTTTCTGTTTGTGACAGCAGCCAGGCAGCTCAGGCTCTGAGCCTTCCACCCTCCAGACTGGAAATCTGGGAGCAGAGGTTCTTTGGAGGAGCCCTGTCCTGCTCAGATTGCTTTTGGGTGGGAAGCAACGTCACTTTATTGAAACCAGGGCAGATTTTAGACAGGGACACCAGCTGAGTTCTCTTGCTGCAGTGTAACAGCTGATGTAGGTCACTGCCCAGGGTGATGGTCAGTGGCAGCAGCAGCATCTCCCCTGTCCTGTGGCACACCATGCCCCATTAGCCCCCAACCCCAGTGTCCATGCACAAGGCTGTGCCATCACATCCTTGCTGCTGTAGGGGCAGATGATTTGGGGCACATTCCCACAAAGGAAATAGTGGTGATAACCCCACAGGTTGTGACTGCAGGTAGCTGTGTGACCTTCCAGGCTTGTCCAGAAGTGCTCAGCCATGTGGCAACTTGGCAGCACCTCTTCCCCCAGCACAGCCTTGTCCCTCCCAGCACATCTCACGAGTGCTAAGAGCTCTGCACGCTCCACACCAGCGCATCCCAGGTCCCCAGGGAGCCCCTGGAGCAGTACAAATGGATGTGACCTACATGAACAACTCCAGGAGCAGATATGCACAGCAACCCGTGCTGCTCCTTGCCAGCGGCCGGCTTGTGTTTGGCAAACACGAGCTGCAGTCCCAACTTCCTCCTTCTGCACTGCCTGGCAGCAGGCACGCTGTGTTGTACAGCAGGAATGTGTCATTAGGCTGTCATGAGTCATGAAGAACAGCTGGTGGATAATGGAGATCTCCAGCTCCTGTGTGCAGGATCAGCCACAAGGAGTGTGCTGGGGATGGCAGTGCCCCCGTCTATGCCCAGGCAAAGGCAGCTGATGCTGCTCCAGTCGTATCCGCAGAAGCAAAGAGGTGTCACTGGCAGAAGATGTGTTTGCACACCCGCTGCATCTGCTCCTGACACCTCAGCCCCCACATCTTGCCAAATTTTGTCTTGTAGAAATGCACAGGCACTGTTGTTGCACCACCTCCCCTACGCTGCCTTGGCTGACCCCAGAGATGTCAAAGCGGAGTTAAATTCTGGCCCCTGAGGGCCTGAGGTCTGGATGAAGGGAATATCAGTGAAAATCAGGAATGTACTAGGTTTTGGAAATGGCTTTATTTACTATTGTGTGGGGAAATAAAAGAAAGTTGTGTTAAACACATCTCAGTGCTGTCCAACTCTCAGGGAAAACAGCCATCGGCTCTCGGCGTTGGGCCAGGGAGGGACACCCAGTGCCAGCTGTGCCATCAGTGCTGGGATAAGAGCCCTTGACCAGTAAGAATTTGGCTCCAGCCCCCTGATGCCACCCCCACAGTGAGTTCTTTCTCCCAGGTTCAGGCCATGGACACCACTGAAAGGCTTCACCCTCCTCACCTTCCTGTTCTCGGCACAAAAGGGGTTTTACACACTAAGGGGTTTTAACACATGAGCATCTGAAATTCGTATTTTTGTTGTTGTTTTTCACATGCCTCAGCACCTCGTGGCATCTGCTTGTGTGGAGATGGATTCCCTGGTGCTCATGCCCTCAGGTGCCCAAATGCACAGCCGAGCTGGGATGATGCACCAGGAGGAGTCCCCCCTCCCTTGGTTAAACGGGGGCAGCAAGTCCCTGGGGAATTCAGCCCACCAGAACCTTTCCAAGGAAGGCCACAGCATGGATATACTGCTGGAGGCCGCAGGGCAAAGCTGTTGTGGTGTCCCAGCCCTAAACAATGGGATTTAGCAGGAGGCATCCCCTTGATCTGCTGGCAAGGAGCAGGGGGGCTCCACTTGGTCCCTGGATCTTTGGCCGCTGCCCTCTGCTCTGTCCAGTCAGTCTGGACTTTGCAGGTCCTTCAAGGCTTGTTCATGTGCATCCTGCCTGCTCCCTACCTGCCTGCTCCCCATACTGCCCAATGCCCAGGCTTTCCTCTGCCAGGCAGTGGGCAGTAAGGGAGGGATGGCATTTGGCTCTGTTCTCCTCCAGCAGCTCCCAGACCAGCTGGCTGGGAGCTGAAGGTTGAACAGTGTTTGCCAATCCTCTGGAGAAGGAGGACACCTCCTTTTCTGGTTCAGGTCAGCATCTCCAGCCAGGCAAGCCATGGATCTCTTGAGAGACCTGTGATGAATTCCAGTGGCCACAAGTGATGGCTCTGTGGAGATCCCTGCTGAGTGGTGTGTCCACACCCTGAGGTTGTAGGAGTTCTACTAGGAAAGGGGGGACCTGCTGCTGCCTGTTACAGTCTTGAGCACTTACAATCCCCTTGTCCCCCTGGACATGCCTTCCCTGGCTGCTGGCCCATAGCTGAGATCCTGGAGACCCACTTACACTGGAGCTGAACCAGCTCCTCACCTTTCCCTGTGGACATGCCTCCCATTGCCTCACACTGGGTTTCTGCTGGTGCTCCCAGCTCTGCCCTGTTGCCAAGCCATGTAGTTTCATGTGTGTAGCTCTGGAAGGTGGTTTATTGATCCTGGAGATACCCAAGGAGTGAGACTGATTTCCAGCTGAGACCTCAGAGCTCCCCCAGCCTGACCTGGGGGAGCCTCAGGTGGTTTCCACAGCACAAACCCTGCTCAGTGCTGGTGTATCAGGGCTCAGCTGCCTCTTCTCACCCCCGGGTTCAGTGCTTGCTGTGGAGATGCCATCATCTCAGTTCAGGGGGATAATGGGTGGAAAGAGCCCGGAGACACCTGCTCAGTGAAGCAGCCAGGGATGGTAGAGATGCATTAAAACCAGAGTGAAATTGCTGCAAACAAAGTGCAGAAGTTCCTGCAGCTCGGGGTTATCTCCTGCTTTCATGTTCTGAAC